TGCAAGGTCCTTCAGCAGCTAGTAAGGAAAGTAGGAGAGCGTGTGTGTGAAAAAAGGTAATTGAACTGCAGTGTTTGCATAAACTACGCATGTGTAGCAGTCATTGCAATTACATCCCACTACTCCTGAAGCTCCAAGGCATTGCTGTGGGCTGCGTGTGGTTTTCTGGGGGGAGCCTGTATGGCAGTCATCTTCAGACCTCACTCGTGCTTCAGTACTTTTGCCTCTTTTTCATGCACACATAACACGACAACATTGAATGCATGTTACTTTTCCTCTGCAGCTTATTGCAGTCCCTGTGGAAAAGCCTTTCAATCAATCTTTCTCCAAGTGTGTAGGGCCCCGAAGCTGGTGATGATCGAGCAAGTGGTGTAAGAACCATCCTGTGGGCTGGTTTCAAACTTGCGCTTGTTCTTGTCAATATTTGTTCAGCTCTGAGGGGAGGCATCAAAACTGGGTCCAAAATGCATTGAATGTCCTGGGCTGGAGGCTTTCCAAGTGTGAGTAAGCCAAATGCCTCTGCTTAGTAGCAAACTCTGCACATTCTCCTTGGATTTGCATCTCTAAACTTGTGCTTCTGTGTTCAGTGTGTTGCTGTTTTGAGTTAAAAACAGTGCAGTTCCCAGCACGGTGTCTGGAAACGAGTCTTGGAGCATTGGATACGATCCCGTGCACTTTGGCCAGCAGCAAGCCAGATACTGTGGGAGGCAAGCAGCAGGCTGGCCATGGAAGCCCAGTCACTGAGGGAACTCGAGCTCAGGACTTCTGCCACTCCCTGGAGTTGTGCCTCAGCTTGAGGTTACAGAGGAGCAGGTTTATGGAACACACATTGTAACTCACAGCTGAAAGGAGGAGCTCACAGCTCCTGGAGCTGCCAGCAGATATTTGCTCATGTAGCACAGTTAAACTCACTTGTGAATGTTGTAGCTGAATAAATAACACTGACCCTGTGTAAGTGCAGGAAACCTTCAAACTCCTTTATTAAGGACACAAATGAAATGAAATGTTAATCTTGTGAGTTGCATTATTGTCTTTCAAAGTAATTGGCATGATTACCTCTGACTTTGTTCTAAATCTTATCTCCCAGGTAAAATACCAATACCTCATTTTGTGGTTTTAGTTTCAGGGCCTGCCTTAGACTGTAGAAATGCTGAGTTCCCTTGGATCTGTCTTAGAAATGAGCAATAATTCACTACAGAAGAAGTTCCTTCTCTTGCCTTTCTGTAGGGGTGGACAGACAGCACCATTGCACTCGCAGTGCAGCAGTGAAGCTGGCCAGGCTTGTCTGTTACTGTGTGTAAAGCTGGAAGAATTGGAGTATCTGTGGGTTTAGGCTGACTGCCACACAGTTCTGGAGTGGAAAAAGCAAGTCTTATACACATGCATTCTCTGCATTTGAACTTAAATTGCATGAGTGAATGGGTTTGGAAAGTGAAATCTTGAGGCTCAAGTGACATGTCGGATGCTATTGCAGTCTGCTCTATCCAAATACAAACCAGATGACTTTGCCTCAATGTCACCTCCAGGGAAACTTCTCCAGGTCTGGGCATTATCTTGGCAATTGCTCCAATGCCAGGGGTCTCCAATTGAGACTGAGCTCAAATATGAGTCTGAGTCCAAAGACTCCAGTCCAGTCCAGAACCTTTTGTACAAACCTTCTGCCTGGAGTGAGCTTTCAAAGTAGTTGAAAATCCCTGAATGGGGTTTTTTTTCAGGAAACAGACAATGTTGACTGCACCAGTACCAACATTGCTACTTGAATTGATCTTAACTTGTAAATGGTCTCCTTTTCTTGATGGGTGTTGACATACCACTAAGGCTTTTCCACTTCTCTGCCACGAATAAGTACCTGTTTTAGAGGAGATTTCTTTAATTGTTGGTCTCAATTCCAGGTGGATAAACTGGATGCATCAGAGTCTTTGAGAAAGGAAGAGGAGCAAGCTACAGAAACACAACCTATTGTTTATGGTAATGCTTTAGTTCCTGTGTTATCAATAACATATTTCACTTTTTAAACAAGCCTTCCCTAATCTTGCTTTTTACCTGAGAAGGTCCTGGGAAATGGGAACATTCTCCATGTGAAATCAAGTCTTAAAGAATGTTTTCCAAAATACTAGCTAAGTGCCTCTAGATAAGTGCTGTGGCTGCCAAGGTGGGCTCTGGATTGCAGGATTGAAGGAATCTGGCTCCTTAAGGAAAGGCATGCAGGAGCTGTGCTATTCCAGACTTCCAGCAAGTGGTTATTTGGATCTTGTGCAATATGCTTTATATCTAAAGCATATTTATATCTACTTTATATTGGGTATTTTCTTTATATCCAGGTTATTCTAGTAAGAGTTTCTTCACTGTAGCATTTTTAGCCACGTGTTGTGTCCTGAGGTTTTGTGGGAAAATGCCCACCGTGGCAGTCCAGGTCAGCAGGGTGAAACATAGAAATACCTCCTGAAAACTTTGAGGCGTTCTGCAGCGATTTCTCAGCTGGGGAGGAGTAAGATGCCCGTTGTGTGTTGCAGGCCAGCCCCAGCTGATGCTGACAGCGGGACCCAGCGTGGCAGTTCCTCCGCAGGCACCTTTCGGCTACGGCTACACGGCCCCTCCGTACGGGCAGCCGCAGCCCGGCTTCGGCTACAGCATGTGAGACGCAGCACAAGCCAGTCTGGAGCAGCGACTTTTCTTACTGAAACTCCACCGTCCCTCCCCGCTTTAACTCATAACAGGGAAAAGCAAAGAGTTCTGCCTCGTGTTCTTGTAACCTTTATTTCATGAAGGACTGTTTTTTCTAGCGCAAACGATTTGAATCACTTCTGTTAAATCTTTTTCACATTCCATGTCATTTAGACTTTTACTTTCGGAAGGGGAATAGTTTAAACGACTTTGTTCAAGTGGGCTTTTGCAGGACTGCTTATTACCATTAAGTCTATTGTGAAGATTCTGATTTGCACTCTATAGTGTTACACTCTAATATTGAATCTTAAGTTCATTGTATGTGAGCAGCTTACGGTATGTACTGTCTATTCTAAATGCATTTAAGTCTCACTGTATATTTGGAGAAAGCTAAAGCCAAGATACTCGTATTTGACCTTGCAAGACTGCTGACAAGAGACAACACTAATCAGCATATCCTCCCTGGGTTGGATTGCATAGCTCTAAAAGAATTTAAAATGCGTACAGACAACCTTGCCTGACTTAAAATGAGTAAAAGTTTTGGGTTTTGTTTTTTTGGGTTTTTTTTTCCCCCTTAACCTATGCAGGTTTTTCCAGTTATGCATATAGAAAATGCTAGTGTCTTTTTGCTCACTCCATATGTAACAGATGACCTTATGTTGTGCTGTATCCTGTGCTTTTGTGGGACATTCCATTCAGGAACAGAGCACCATGATTCCAATCTGTGTATTTACTAACCCTGCCCTGAGGTTTGTGTATGTTGGATATTGTGGTGTTTTAGATCACTGTTTTGAGTGTACAGAAGAGAGAATTCAAGCATATTGCTGTTCAGTTTTGTTTGTGCAATTTGAAATTACGCAATTTAAAAATAAATTACTGGACTGTGGACATGCTGCATAGTGGTAGCTTCACTTTACTGTCTTCAAAAAAAAAAGGACCTTTGGACTCAAACCAAGTATTCCAGTGCTGGTAGTGGGGGGCAATGCAGGTGTGTACAGCCAGGGGTCTGAGGGGCCAGCAGCAGAGCAGCAGTGGGGACCAGTAGTGGGGTCTTGCACTGAGGGGGCAATACAGGAAAATATGTAATGCTTTTTTTAGGGAAAGATTATGCCAGAGAGAAGAAAATAGCACTTTTCACCAGTTGGCTGCACTGCAGTCAACTCCAGCATATTTGACCAGATGATACATTAGGATTGTAGTAGGGTGTGCCAGTTCAATTGAGATCATGTTCTAGGTATGTAAATTGCCTTAAACATATTTAGCTTCAAATAAAATTGACTTAAATGTTTCTCTATGAATACTGTCATATTTGAGTGTAACGAGTCTGACAGCACTGGCCAGATTTCCAACAGCTCTAGAAGCTCCTGTCTCTTAACCAGGAGCTGCTCTGGGCATCAGGATCCAGAACCCACTCCCTCTTCCTCCTGTGAGCTCCACAGCTGTGCTGTGATCCTGGGGCTGCAGCACTTCCATGGAATGGGGCTGGCAGGGGCTCACCTGCCCCAGGCTCTCTGTGCTCAGCAGGGACCAGTGAGTCTCTGAAAAGGATTACGCCTCTAAGAGGTGCAGTACAAAAACATTTCCATCCTCTGTGTTTATTGGCATTTTAGCCCCTCTGTGGATAGCTGGAGATGGAGATAAATCCTGTTCCCTCTCCTACAAACTGTTTCACAACACTCAGCTGAGAGGTTGGCAAAGGTGCTTAACAGCAGAACTCTCACAAACTGTACGAGCAGAATTTACTGGAACCCCCAAGGTGCTCTGAACTGTGCAGTAATATCTGTAACAGGGTGCTTCCTTAAACTCAGGAGCACCTGTTAATCCCAAGAAAACCAGGATTTAAATCAGTCCCTGAGTGCCCAGTTGTTTCTATGGAGGGAACTCCCCACACCTTGGTTTAACTGCACATTTTTGCACGTGTAGGAGCTGCACAGACCCCTCGGGAGGGAAGCTCAGCTTACAGCTGCTCCCCACAAGTGTTTACTGGGCTGGGCTGCAAATCCAGTTGAACTGGTCAGCCTGGTACCAGTTACAAGTTGTTGCAGCAGTTGTTTGGGCAGAAGTTGGCTACAGCTATCCCCAAGCTCCAGTTCTTAACTGCTTCAGCAGCTGAGCCTTACTCAATTTACAGAATGCATTCACTACAGAAAACAGGAGAAAGAGGAAACGCTTAAAAGTAATCAACCAATGTGCAAAATTCTCAAGCAATTGCACAAATTGCAAATTTACTGGGTTCCTTCTTATGCCTGCTCTGCTTTCCTCAACTGCGCTGAGCCTAGAATATTCTTTCCCATTTTGGAACACAAGCTAGAGAAACTCATGATTTACAAATGAAATCTTACAAAACTTGCTTGTTTTATTAACACTGAGGGAAGATACGGAAAAAAAAGCCCCCAACTTATATTTTTTATCCCTTCAGTACTGACATACATGAACACATCCCAGTTTAGAAGAGTTTAAGGTGACCAGAAACTTGATCTATGACATCAGCTGGTCCTGGTCCGATCCCAAGGACTGTCCTGGAGCCTGGAGCTATCTGAGTTCGCCCAGCATCCTGTATCAAGCTCACAGTCAGCCCCAGGCGCTTCGCCTCAGCCAGCAGCTGCACCAGAGTCTCTTCATCAGGAGCTTTGAGGACCACTTTAGGTTGTCCACAATATTCCCACTGCTTCAGGAGCTCGGGATTCCTTTTGTGAACCTGCTTGTAGGCAGAGACAGCAGCATGGGAGCACTGTGCTGCTACTTTGCCCTTGCCCATCTTCAGGTCGTTGCGGACAATCAGCACCAGCTTGAGCTCCCCGGACTCTCCCATGACGTCGGCCTCACTCTCCAGGCCGTTGGAAGGTTCTGGAATTATTCCAGCTCCGGGCTTCCTGCGGAGCCTCCCCCGGATGCCCCAGCCCAGGCACACGCCACACACGACCCCAATGATGACATTCAGGAACTCGGGCTCGAAGACAGAAATCATGGTGGATTTTGGAGACTCCCTCTGGAAGGGGGGAAAGACAGAATTATACTTGAGTATTTCTCAGCTTCTGAGAGCATTTTGTGTGCTCTCACCTGGTTTCCACTTGGTTATTCAAAGACAAAGAACATTGGTTAGAAACACAAAGGAACGGTTCCCCAGACACAGCTTTCTGACTGCAAATACCTCACTGGTGATGGGCTTTGACTCAGAGCTAAGATAAAATGGCAAATTATCATAAAATCAGAGAATGGTTAGTGTTGGAAAGGACCTCGAAGTTCATCTGTTCCACCCTCTGCGATGGCCAGGGCCACCTTTCACTATCCCAGATTTCTCCGAGCTCTGTCCATCCCGGCCTTGGACACTTCCAGGGATGGGACAGCCACAGCTTTTCTGGTGCCAGAGTCTCACCAGCCTCACAGGGAAAAATGGTTTCCTAAAATGCAATCTAAACCTCCTCTCTGTCAGTGTGACCCCATTCCCCCTTTCCTGTCACCCCAGGCCTCTGTGAACAGTTTTGCCTCACCTCTCTTGTAAATTCCCTTCACCTACTCGAAGGCCACAATTAGGTCACCCCGGAGCTTCTCTTCTCTTGGCTGAACACTCGCAATTCTCTCAGCCTTTCCTCATGTCAAAATTGCACCTAAAAACCGGGAGAAAAATGGCGAAATGCCGAAGGTTTTAAGTCGGCTGAGGAGCGGGGCCGCCTCCAGCGGCACCTCAGGCCGCACTGGAGCCCGAGCGGGGCCGAGCCCTGCGGGACCCCGCGGCCCTCAGGGGGGACATGAGGAGGCCATGGAGCGGCCTCCCCTCACCGCTCACCTGCCGCTCCCGCCCGGAGCTGACGGGAGCGCGGCGCTCGGGAAGTGACGGAGCCCGGGGCGGGACGGGGCGGGTTTGCCGGGCCCAGTTCCGCGTTGTGCCGGGCCGAGCGGAGCTGCGGGAGCGGGGTGAGTGCGGGGCCGGGCCCGGGGCTCTCCCGGCGGGCGGGGGTCTCGTCAGGGCCCCTCAGCGCGGCCCCTCAGCGCGGCCCCTCAGCGCTGCCCCTCAGCGCTGCCCGCGGCGGCGCCGCCCCGCTCCCCTCACGGCTCTGAGGGGACGGCGGCAAGAGGGAACCCGCGGTGCTGTGAGAACCGTGTGGGAAATGGGGCCGGCTGTGGAGCAGCAGGGCGGGAGGTGAGGCTGCTGCTCGCCGGCCTTCAGGGCGAGAAATGAGAAATGAGAAATGAGCCGCTGCCGCCTCACCCCGCTGGGGAGCGGCTCTGCTCTTCCAAAGCCCCGGGAAGGGTGGGATGGAGTCGCCCTGCTCCAGTGCCATCAGGGAGAAATGTGTCCTTCTCCCTGCGGAGAGTCAGACAGCGATGGGCTTTGTCTGCTTTTCCCCCGCTGGGTGCTCCCTGCATCCCTGCCTGGAGGGCAGCTGTGAGGCCCAAATCCATGGGGACATTTCTGCTGGCTGGGGTTAAGTGCCTCGTCTGCTTTTTATTTCTCTACCAGTGCCATGTGGTGTTTGCAGCAGATAACAAAGCAGCAAGATTCCCGTTTTATTCCAGTTTTGCCTCTCAGATGCTTGGCAGGTCATGTAGGTGGCCTGAGAGAACGGGTGATAAGTGTGTTTGATTGTTACCCTGATTCTTAAGATTTTCTAAAGCCTGCTGATTTTACATTTTTGTAGAAAACTTTCTCACACAACTTTCTGTAAGCAATCTATTGTTTTATATTCTTCCATAGAGGCAGAGAAATTTAATATACTAATAGTTTATCCAATATCATTAGAGAAGTGATATACTCACCCTCCAATCCACTGTCACCTTTAGAAAAGTATAAATACTAAAATCAGAAAATAAACTTCCTCTTTTTCACCTTTACAATAACAACAGCTCGCGCTGTGCTTTCACGTGTCCTATAATAACACTTGATGGCAGCTATTTATCTATAAAGTGCTGTGAATCCAGGTTATCCCCTTCCAGCTGCACCTACGACATTTCTTCAGGGTTGTCTCCTGCCCTTGTTTTCTCTGCTCTGTGCTTACCAACAAGTGGGTATCCTGGTTTAGTTAATGCTGACAATGTGGGTTGAGGTGGAGAAAGTGTGGTGTGATTTCATGCCTTGGACCACGTGTCGTGTTTGGGCAGTGGATTTTGGTGTTGTTTTGCTGTTAGGAATTGTGCTCTTTTAGAGATAGTTTCACCTCAGGGTAATGGGGGATTCTCATGCTTCCTAGCACCTTATGATAACATACATCAGCTCTTCTTGATGCATTGATTTTCCCATTGAAACAGTCTTGATTATGTCAGTCCTCCTTCTTCCAATCCATTGTTTCTGCAGCATGGAATAGACTTTCCTTTATTCCTTATGGGATAAGTGACAGTTGTAATGATGGCTTCATCCCCTGTTTTCAGATGAGGGTTTCAAAAGCCAGCTTCCAGTTGTGCAATGGGAGGTGAGCTCTCTTTATTAGTCTGAGCTTTGTTTCGTGTCCTGCTGAGCTGCTGAAATCACTGCTGTTTGTAAGTGCTGTGGGGAAGGGTAGGAGGAGACTCAGGAGCTTTCAAGTGGGTGAAAGCAATGAGGAAGGTGAGTAGGCTGGAACAACTGCACTCTTTCAGCCTTAAATCTTTTTTTTTTCTAAGTTGTTTTCTTGGAATTCCTTCTGAATGTCATAACTGCCTCTGACTGCAGCTCGTGAACAGCTCTCCTTAGGGTGATCTTTGCCATTAATGCATGCTTGGAGATTCCTTTTTTCTTAAAAACCTGTGTGTTTAAAACCAGAATAAAACCCTGTAATTCCTGATGTATTGTGATGGGAGACAGAGTTATCTGCAGGTTGGAACTTTAACTTCTCTTCCTTGTGGACAAATCTGAGCTGGGTGGACTTTGCTATTCCCTGAGGACAAAGGGCACAACCTTGAAGGTTTTGCAACACTGAGCTTTTTGTACCAGCTTCAAACACAACCATGGGACAGCAGCAAAACCACTAAACCTGGCTGGTTTTGGTGCTGCTTGGGCTAGAGGGAGCAGGAGATGTTATTAATGAGGCAGGCAGTTGTTCAGGGTGTTTCAAGTTTATTAAAAGAATATTTTTCTTTCTCCCAGGGCTCAGGATTGGCCTCTGTGAACCTTGTCTGGGCAGTGTGTCCTCACTGGATGGCCAAGTGTGAAATCTGAATTGGTTGCTTTTAGAGAATGTTCTTTTGAAAAGCAGAATTTATCTCAGGAGCTTCTTTCAGCCACTCTGGGCTTTGTCAGGTCCTTGTGTTCATCCCTTTCCATCTGTGCTGTTCCTCTGCATATCCTCTTATCCCTGGGTCTCACCTTTTCATCTGTTTACTGCACAGCATCTCTGCTCTTTATTGTAGCACTTAATTCTACTGCTGGATGTAATCAAAATTCGTGTTTCACCAAAAGAAAATAACACTAAAAAGATCAGTTTAATATATGTGGCTTTAATGGCAGGGGCAGAACTTTCCATTAACTCAAAAGAAATTGTGTGGCATCCTTGAAGCTCATGTTACAACAGTCTTTCCTAAAAGGCATCCCAAAGTCCCATTTTTTTTGGAAAAGATGGGAATTTTTACTCTAAATTATAAGATGATTTATTTGGGTAGGAATTGGAAAATAGGTCTGGTGTACAGAGGCATAACCCACAAAATGGAAACCTGTGGTCTTTAACTGAATTACTTCTCCTTTGAGGAATTAAACTATTTTAGTCAGGAAAACATTGCTAGTATGGGAATAAATGCACTCATATCAAAATAAACCTGTGGAGATTTGGAACATCTTTCAGATGTGGCCTCGTTTATTTTAATTGAATGCTTCCCAGGAGTGCTGAAGGACTGGAAAAAAAAAAAATCGAGCAGTTACTTTTTCTATTTTCTGTCATCTTCAGGAAAGTCATTAACCTCCAAGTGAGGGGCTGTTCCCTGCAGTGTCACATGAACGGTGCTCTCTGGCTCTGTAGGGGCAGCAGCTTTGCAAGAGGAGTGCTGCAGAGCTGAGGAGTGGCTTCAGGTCCTGGAGAAGTGGTGGAGAGGGAATAACTGTGAGGAGCTGGAAGGGGTAGGTAATGTTTCACTTCCAAACTGATCCCGTCCTTCTCCTGAATGTGTTCCTGTGCCAGGCAGTATTTGGCTTTCGAGGGAAGGTGCTCTCCAAGCTGTTTCATTGCCAGGGAGTTGTTAACTTATTCTCTCTCTAGAGCACTTGATGACTGAAAAAAAACCCTCTCACAGATGTGCAGCACTGTCTAGATTAGTGCAATTCTTTACCCACCTGGAAAGGCTGAACTGTAATCCTTTTTTCTCCTTATTGTAACTGGGGTGTAGAAAATGAAGAAGGAATATCAGAAAAGCTGAGGAGAAAGAAGCAGCAGGAATGGAACATTCAGCTTTAAATGCAACAACTAACTGGAAATTTAGTGTTGCTGATGTGGCTGGGGGGAGCAACAAAATGCTTCAAGCTCCAGCTCTGGTTCTTGGAGTTGTGTGAGCAGGAATTGATGGAGATGAGAGTCAGGGCTCTTTCAGTAAGAAGTGGCAAGAATTAGTGATTCAAGCGATGTCTGGGAGAGCAGTGAGATCATGAAAACAGCTTTCTTGTTGTTCCAGCACGCAGGAGAGGAGTCCTCCAAAAATCCTTAGCACAGAACATGAGTCCACGTTCTGCTCCTCCAGGTGAGAGTGCAGACACCCAGCTGCCTGGTCCAAAACTGGTTCCTTTTGCATAAGTGTACCCAACCCTTGGGTGCTTCCACAGCCTCCCCAGAGCTTCAGAGAAGAGACTTTTGTCCTTTTTTTCTGATTACAGAGAGCAGATACTGCAGTGCCCAATTTTGCTGTGTTCTCATGCTCTGATAGCTTGTTTTGCTTTGTCTCACTTATACTGTGAAGTGCCAGTCACAGTTACTAGAAACCCTTTTTGTTGATCAATTTGCATTTTTGACTATCAATAATTGTCTTTTTATACTTCATGTTTTGGGTTGCACTAACGCTCAGTGGTGTATTGTCAGTTCTTTGTTCAGCCCTACAAAGCAGTTCTTGTGTGAGCACAGCTCTAACAAATGATCTCAGCCACCCTGATACAAAAACTGGCCACAGTTGTTTTCCTTGCTCTTTTAAATAGTTTATTTTTATGTTTGCTGCTAAGTACTCCATGCAGTAGGCAATTTTATTTTTAGAGATGGGCTCTGTGTCTTTCCCAGCATCTGTCAGAAGTGAAGTTCTGTTTAGCAGATGGAATTTAATTTCCTGTGGTGAGCTCTCATGGATTGGGTGTAGACTTCAGAATATGGAGTGAGTTAATGAAGGATAACTCCATTTTGGGTCAGACTCCCACTCCAGTCAATCCCTGTGGGGAGGCATTAGTGCAGGACTGGTGGTTCTAATGCTGTTCAAGCAGCACAGCAGATCGAGGGTGCTGAGCTGAGGGGATGTGCATCCTCCAGTCCCTTTGCTAAGATGCTTCGAGTATAATTAGACTTGGTTAAACCAGGGAGATTCTTTTCTGGAGCCAGGAAGGGTTTGCAGCCAGTTCAGCCCTGCCATGTGATAGGAATCCCATCTCCAAGTCGTCTGTGTTTTTAAATAGGAAATTTTAGAGCTTTTCTGCAGAATGGTTGAACTTTAAGACCTTCTTGTCAAGTATTTGTCCTACAGAAGTGTGGAAGGGGATTATTTATCTGCTTCTGTGCAAACATTGACTTGTGTACTTGAGGTGGTGTTATGCAAAGCTAATCCTGGATTAGTGCCTTTCCAAGCAGGCAGGGTAAAAGTGGCTCTGGCAGTCGAGCTCCTGAAAAAAAAGCTGTCCTTCCTTGGGA